CTCGCCAGACAAACTTCACGGAACACTAACGTAAGGCTCATCGGCCATAGTGGCGGACCCGACCGGAGCAGTATAGACCCAAACCCCGTGTAACATAGAGCTTGCTTGTGGAATCGCAAGTATTGGTGTCACAATAATTAAAAAAGTAAAAGCTGAGAGCTTCATAGTTCTCTTATAATAAAGGATAATATGTAAGGTAGGTAACAGAATATGAAATAAAGTGGTAGCGAAGACTTCTGGTGAAAGAAAGAATAGCAGTTAATATACGTACATACGTAGGCTAGGCGGGGTGGTAGTAGCGTAGTAGTGGCACAGTGGTGAAGGGCCTAATAGTAATTTTAATATTAATATAACGTCAGCAGAGGCTGAAGCTTTAGAGGAACTAGATGGGTCTAATGCTGCGGACGGGCCAGTGGTAGATCATGTCTTCTGATATTAATATAACGTCAGCAGAGGCTGAAGCTTTAGAGGAACTAGATGGGTCTAATGCCGCGGACGGGCCAGTAGTAGATCACTTCTTCTAATATTAATTTTATTAGGCTGTTATGAAACTAAATTAGCTCCGGCCTTTTAGGAAAATTTTTGTAAAACAAAATTGCGGGATTTATTAGAACTAGTTATGTAGATATTCGAATTAGCAACCACGCGTAAGCGCCTATTCTTAGCTCTACCTATTAAAACCGTTACGCCCGCCTATTAACTAGATTCGAGTCTGGGTACAGAAGACGGGTATAGGTTAGGGATTAAAGAGGGGTGTCGTAACTCGTGAACCGGGGGTTACGGATTAGCTAGATGGGGGAAGGACCCTAAAGCTAAGCCTATCGGGGCACGCATAGCTAGTCCAAGCTTTCGAGTGATGAGGGCAAGATTGAATGCCGCCGAGCTTCGATCAACATCAAAAGGCTCTGTCATCGTCCCTTCTGTGCCACTTTGCTGTCGTGATTCCTGCACAATGCCTCAGGGGATTCATGACTAGAGTAATCTTGCGCCGGGAATACCCCGAAGGCTTCTTCATGTCCTTACCATAGCATCAGTAGAGCTACTATTACCCAGAAATCCAACGCCAAAGTACTACATACTCTCGTATACTTGGGGCCCGATAAAGTTCCATTTAGTATGATGCTATGAATTTAAGGGGAACACCCTGGAAGATTCCTGCAGTCAGCCCTAACTTTGCCTTCTCGCTAAAACAATTCGAAGATGTCTTGCGTCGTGTTGCCAAAGAAGTCAATCGTGTCTGTGGAGATATCGTTTCTATCAACCAGGGGAGGAACCCGGAAGAAATCGCTGAAGGCATGGATCAGATAGGAAAGCAAATGCGAGTTTTCAAAGGAGCACATCAAGTTTGTGTGTGGTTGCATTGCTCATCGAAGAAACAATCTGAGAAGATCAAAGAATGAGAAGAACGTTTCTTGGAGTTTTCCGACGTGCTTGACTGCCCGGAAGAAGCAAGACATGCACATGCGGACCCTCCTGACGAAGGGCGCGCTATTAAAACCCTGGATAGCGCAATAACAGTGCTTAGGTCGTGGACAGGTGAATTATGGTTAGGTTATTTCGACCTTCTGTTGAGATTCAAGGATAGGAATGAGGATAAGATACAATTGTTTCTAATAACTCTTTAGACTAAGAGATTTGTTCTATCTGTTCATATAGCGCTATGAAGCCGCCCCTGACCGGAAACGCTTCGACATCCTGGTAACGTAAAGCAGAGCCGACCAACTGTGATGCAAATCCATCATAACAAAGTATCAATACCTTCTTCTTACCATACCTTACTTCTGTAAGCAGCCATGATACTTCTGGTTCTTTCAGCCATTTTCGCATACTCGTCCATACCCTAGAGACTTCTTGAGGGTTACTAAATAAGTCTCCGCCAGCCAGTCCTTCAAAAAGGCCGGGAAGTGGTGTCGAGACAGAGTCGAGAATGTGACTTGCGCGGAAATCACAAGTGCTTCTCAGGTCCATGATTAGTGTCGACGAGACTTTCGTGACGTGCTGGTGTGCGACCTTCGTCTTCAGGTGGCCATCAAGCCTTCGTCGGGCGTGGAACAATCCGCACCAGCGACTGAAATATTGTAAGGCTTTGCTTTTTTCAGTACGTTGATCACGCTTGTTGCTGGTCAACCTGAGTGATTCGCTAGAAGAATCGAATTTGAGGGTGACAAGACCGCCCATATCGGCTTTTCCATGTCTATTCTGATGGCCAGTACCGAGCAGTTCCAATGCCTGAGCACTATCCAAAATCCATCTTGGGTCATGCTTAGTCTGATCGCACTGCAGCAATATCTAAACATTGATCATCGTCAGTTGTTATGGTCTGGGAACACTGTCAGACTTACCTCATTCTCAATATGTGGAAATTCTTCAGCACCCAACCTGTCGAAATATTCAGATAAGTACTGGTATGGAAGATCAGAACAAGTGAAGACGCACGAGATCTCTCCTGTTGTATCGTCAACGAGCTCTTCTAAAGTTCCGGCTTTCTTCAAGTCATCAAGATACTGCAGCAGACCCTGTAGTGCTTCTCCTGAAGACGGGCCACATATCAAACCCTCCCGCGAGAGTTTCATTGACATGCGATAGGATTCGACCGACGATACTTCCACGCGCGCATCAATTGCTTGCTGCCAAGGAAACGGGGAGCTTTGGAATCCTTCGTAGTACCTTGGACCTGGAACTGGATCACCTGCAATGTTGAAGACGCTGATAGCGCGTGACTAGATTAGCATTGTCTCATATCCGAAAAATCACTGAAGCGTTTTGCCTACCCTAGAACTCTTATTGATGGTTTACCAGACTTCAAAGCCACTCCAGTCCCAGTGATGCAACCTCCTGTCCCCACCGTCGTGCTGAACAAATTGATCTCGGGTAATTGCTGGAGTATCTGGGGACCAGTCCAAGTCGCATGTGATTTCCAGTTTTTCTCATTGTCATACTGACCCAAGTACACCATGTCATCGCTTGTGGCTGCTTTTCTCCTTAATCTTGCCATAATCCCTGCCGGATCAGTGGGCTCTTGTTGTGCTAGTCCTGAGAAAAGACACCTTTGTTCTGATGTCAGTTCCATAACACATGGAATTCCGTTCTTAGGAAACATACGGTTTTATGCCGAAGAAGCGTAACAAGTTTAAAGACTCTCGGGACTTTTTATTAGTAACGTGCGCCTCGACATCTTCATTTCCCCATAGAACTCTGGCGATAATGCCCAAAGACAGAATAGTAGATCCAGAACTTGCTTCTGCAATTTTTCGTGTTGCTGCTCTTGGTTCGTCGCGAAGCATTTGCAAAGCTGGATGTATCGTCAGACTTGTTGAATTTAAGCTCACATTGTGCCTTCACACGATATTTAAGAAGATTGTTTTCAGAAACTCTTACCAGGTAATGACTTAACATTTTGCGCTGGTAGGCAGGTCATCATCTTTGCGTATATACGGACTTTGTCTTTTTGGTATGGGTTGAGACGATCTGGTATCTCGACCAAGGGCAATGGAAGATGGAAATCTGGATTGAAATATTGGCCAACCGATTGTGGGCCCCGAAACACGTTGTTGTGGACAGCCATGACTATGGTTTTTGTAATCAGGATAAATACCAGGTACGCTGATGGAAGACTTGAGATATCCCTCTGGTGACTTTACCACGAAGCACAAAGCTAACAAATAAGGTAAAGCATACCGATCCATTTCGACCACTTCGTGTGGGCAGTCACATAACTTGACTTTGTGGCTATTTTACGAAGCATGATGTGACCTCCGTAAGTCTCATTCTGCGGCCTTATGTTAGCGCTCACAGCTGTCCTAGAGAATCACTGCACCACAAACCGTCTATTTTTGGTCGAGGTTGAAGTACCAAGCTGTTCGTGAGCATTATTACCAGGATCCAAATTAACTGATCCTTGTTAGCGGCTTGTACAAATGAAAACTGTCTGCAGGTCACTATCCAGCCGTGCCCCCATTTTGCGCTAAGCATTGTGGAGATCTTGGCTGCTTCTGCCTTGGTTGCTTCGTCAGGCATAAGTAACATATTTTGCGCCTAAGATAAGTATGTCATCCGGTATGGAAGCTTGACGAAGCACATCCCGAACGTAATCTGCTCAAACGAACGCACATATGATTAACGGCGCCGTGATACTTACTTGGCAGGGTCCAATATGGCAGGTAAAGATCTACTAATCAATGCCCACCCATGCGTCCTCTAGCTCGACATTGCACAATGGCGACATATGCGGGTCCAGACCGTTGGCAGCATTCACAACCCTACAACAATTTCTCGCCAATTACTTGGCAGATATACATAGTGCATCAGCATGCTGAATTGCAGGCTGGAGTAACTGCCGGGCGCAACAAGAGACACTCTTGCATGATAGCGCGGCTTCTACGGATTTCATTATAGTCACGTAACGCCAAAAAGTTTTGCGTGTTCATGCACCACAACTAGGTCAGCCATTTTTGAAGTTGATACTTTGCACAAACTTGACAATTGGCATTTGATCAAGTTAAGTTTCAAGAATTGCTCCCATTGGTGCTAGATTACTACAGAATCTACGCTCTTCGAGAATCTGCTCGAAATCACCCCAGAATATACTTTGCCATGGGTCAGTCTACGCTTCAAGGGGCTGTTGATCAATTAACGACTTACAACTTCTCAGCAGTATCGATTCCGTCACCATTTCCACTACTGCGGTGGCAAATTGATCAAGGTTCAGGTGAGTGCTGTCCTTTCTGCAACATCTCGAACATTTTCTCACTATGTACATGAATGTACTGACAGCTACAGTACTCTTCAAATTGCTTGAATTAACCGTATCCGGTCAATCCTCTTTGGAAAATGTGTGGTGGTTAGACCTAAAAGTCACCAGAAATGTCTCTGGTCATTTCGCATCGATCCCAGTCACAGTTTCACCACAGAATATTCTCGCCTCAAACAAGAAATCCAACCCCAGCTGGACCAAGCTTTTTGATAAAACTGCAGGCGAGGTACTGTCAAGCGACGACGCCATAAATCCACGCAATCGCACGATTATCAGACTTTTGTTCAGCAAGAATCCTGGGCACGCGGTGCGATCGGATTATCTAGTTTACAGATTGGCTGGCGCACAGTACGTCGCTTCTGTGAAATCTTTCTTAGATCCCCGGACCAATGTTGCTGAAGTAGCTCCGGAACTTTACAGGTCCATCACGACTTTGAGCGACTTCACCAAGTTGTTCGAACATGCAATTGGTGGTATTGTCAGCAGTAGCCCAGATGAACTTTTTACCGTCGAATCGTGGCAGCAATATCTCGACGGCGAGCTCATCAAACGTCTGTCTGTACCATGGATATTTAGGCAACCTTTGAAATCATATCGCGTTTTCTGGGTCCAAGGCCGCGCGGACATTGGGTCAAGCATCCAATTCTATGAAGCTGCAAGAGCACTTGGCATCACGATCGTTGTTCTCGACCAACCTGGCCACTGGCTTCAGGATGACACCGGTCCACATGCCCAATATCGCGAAGCATTCATACCCATCAGTGTCGATGGGGATGAAGGCCTCACGCAAAGAGTTGTCGAAGCCGTGCGGTCTTACCCGCACAGGGTAGATGGAATTGTGACTATCAGCGACGTTCGTTTGCCTTTCGTCGCTCGCGCCTGCGAGATACTCGGACTACCTACTTCACCATCAGCTGCTTACATCCTTGCAGGCGATAAAGGTGCCACAAGAGAGCTGGAGGATGCTGCTGCTGATAAAAAAGAGGGCTTTGTACTTAACGCCGCAGATGAACTTGATACCTTCCTTGAGCAAGCGGGGAACATGATAAAATACCCTCTCATCGTCAAGCCGTGTAGTGGATGGAACAGCGATTGCGTCGTCAAGGTCCAGAATCAGGATGAGTTGTTTGCTGCTGTTCTTCGCGCATCTAGTAGACATGCAAATTCACCGAATTGCAGCACGAGAGTTGTTGTTGAACCGTACATCGAAGGACCTGAGGTAGATGCGAACTTTGTCATTCTTGATGGAGAAGTCTTATTTTGCGACATTTCAGATGATTTCCCAAGCACAGGTGACCACTCTGGGAACTCGACAAGCATTCCGGCAGCCAATTTCATGGAAACATTAATGGATATACCCACCAATTTGCCAAGCGAGGAACAGGAGTTAATGAAGTCAAGCTTGAAGGAAAGCATAGTTCGTCTTGGCTTCAAGTCCGGTGTCTTCCACTGCGAAGCGCGAGTTCGAAATTCCCGCGCGCAATACAAGCACGGCCTAGACGGTATTTTGGACATGTCTGTGTCAACGCGCACGGAACCAATATCACCACCATCATGCTACCTGCATGAGGTAAATGCTCGATCTCCTGGGTATATTAATTGCGTTGCTGCTCTTCTTGCGTACGGGGTAGACTACTACGCTATTCGCCTTCTTCTAAGCCTGGGTCCTCAAGAAAACGAACGAGTGAAAATCCTGGCACAACCTTTTCTCGGAAGTAAGCCACAGTATATCTTGGGTGTTGTTGTCCTTCCCCCTACTCGATCGGGTATCATGGCCTCGGAGAATGCTGTGGAAGATTATCTTGTTGAGAATCCGGACATTCGTAAACACGTAGTCCACCATCAGACAGTAAGGAAGAAGGGCGAATTCGTAGAGGGACCAGACTCAGATGAGCTACTAGCGGTTGGATACATCATAGTGGCCAGCAAGACCAGTAGACGACAGTGTCTTGAGCTAGCTAGACAGATTTCGGAAACTTTCGATTACAAACTAGAGAGCGATTAGGAATATAGCCCCAACGTTGACACAAGCTTCCAATCACATTTGCCCAGGTGTGGCACCACTCTGAGGCTGTGATTTGTTAGTGCTAGCAGTCCCTAGGAGAGCATCTTGAGAGTCTGTCAAATTCCACGCTTTCTCTTGCCCGCAAGATGAAGCCACCCAATCGTCGGGACTAATTGGTGGTGCAATTTACAGATAAGATGCACAATGGGGCGAGGATCCCCGGCTAAAAGAATCCCGCTAAATTTTCTGGCACTTTCGATCGTTTCCTAAGGTTGTAGGTGTTTGGCCAACCACCCTGGGCTCTGCTACCAAGACGGTTGACTTGTTTCTTGCTTATTCCACAACTCACTAGAGCACTTTTTAGAGTGTTGTGGATGGATGGTCTGGTGCAATCTTTGCGATGAGTTATTATTTCTAAAGAGAGATCTTGGCTGAGTACTGCGAGTAAGGGTAAATCAAGGCTGGGATTAGCGACTTGGTGAGTACACAGGCGATACACTTGGGTTAGCGGGCCGGGAAGCGGGGCGTTTCCTCTCGTCGGCAACAATCTGACCACTCATTCACCCAATGCCAAGATCTTGGACATTGCCAAGGCTACCAAGCTTACCGCAATGGGTCAAAATAGCTCAAAGGGCCTCACGGCCATGTGTGCGCGGCGGAGGCTTCTTACGACGGGGACCGTGGCTTGAGTCTCGACAGGTTTTTACTGGTGTACTATACTGGCCCTTCTGTGTTCTACCTAATAATTCAGGACATTCTGTTCGTTAGGAATGTGTAAATGTCCTTGGCATGGCATGAGCGGCACTGGCGAAATCTCGACCCTGTCAAGGTTATATGTTGATACTGCGACGCTTTCTACAACAGACCGGAGAACGGGCCGTAGCTGTTTGCGCCTTACTTTGCATACCTTTCCAGCAGGTCCCCATACAAAAACTGCGCCGTTGCTAGCCAGCAGGACAATCTTGTATGATCGACGAGCTGTGTGGAACTGTGTACAATGACACCAATACGCACATGGCTGTTCTCGAGCCTGACTGCTTTGCAGCTCTACATTGAGGGTATCAAGGCTGATGGTACTGGCCTTATTGGATATGGGAAGACGTTGTACAACCCGACTTGTTCCTTCGCCTGCCGCAATGTCATTCGGAAGCAGACCCTCGCTTGCACGCCAACGGACAGCTCGACGAACCATGGAACAGCGCACAACCCCGTCTCGACACCGGCAGAATGCTTTGTCCGAGACAAAACGTTCCTCAAGACCATGGCACTTTGTATCGATGTCTACTGCTCACTGAGCGACAAGCCATCAAAGAGCCTCCTGAAAGACTATTGGGCCTCTCATCTCGGAACTGGCACCCTAGGTAACTACCAATATGTCCCAGCTATGTCATATGAAGAAGCGCTCGCTGCTGCACGGGAAGATGAGCTCAAAGCCAGGGCAGATCCGGTCAATCAGACTACCGCAAAGGTCCCCGCAGGTTTGAAGCCATACAAAGTAACAAGCCCTCTGGCCCTGACTACTGGTGGAAGTGGTGCCCTGAACGAGACACGTTTTGTGGCGCCCGTGCAATGGCAGTTACAGTGGAACTACATGTCGGATTTTGAGATCAACGAAAAGGGTCACAGCACGATGGCGTGAGTATCACCATTGACCTAGACTGCTTGGAAAGCGCAAACACTAACCTAGACAAGGATCATCATCGCAGCCGTCGCAATCTCCCTACCGGTCCTACTGTCCTTGCTTCGTTTCGTGCCAGGCCTCTCAGCAAATTGCGGCTGGAGCAGTTTCAAGTCGCTTCTTATATATCCCGCGGCCTTTGGAAAAAAGCACCGCGAGCCCGTAGCAGGAGGTTTAGTTCCGACCCGCGGACAGACTCTCTACATCATTCTCATCAGCTTGCTCAACCTCATCTTACTCGTCGCGCCGTACACCATCAAGCAGCCCCAGGCGAGCTTCCTTACCAAGGGCAAACAACTTCTCAGCATCATCGGCAATCGTGCCGGATCTATGGCCATGGGAAACGTCATCGCATTGTTCCTCTTTTCATCGCGAAACAGTATTCTGCTGTATGTGACAGATTGGAGCTACAGCACATATCTCCTACTCCATCGTTGGCTTGGCTACTGGGCTTTCTTGCACACTATGATCCATTCCGTTATGTTGTGGAGATATTACATCCTTGCGGGCTCCTATTCCGCTGAAATATTGCGTTTGTACTGGCAATGGGGAATAGTCGGCACTGTCGCTGCCTGTGCACTGATACCATTCTCTCTGCTGACTGTCCGACAAAAGTTCTACGAATTCTTCATCATCTCTCACGTCATTCTATCTCTTCTTTTCCTCCTTGGATTTTACTACCATATTTGGTATGTCTATACCTGGAGCTGGGGCTACGAAATTTGGATGTTCGTTGCAGCGGGAATGTGGGCACTTGAGCGTCTGATTCGCATCGCTCGCATGGTGTTCCAAGGAAGTAGGACGGCCATCATAACCGTGATCCCACAAACAGAAGGTGAATACATCAGAATTGAAGTCGAAGGAAAGCAGCTCAAGTCTGGCGTGGCCTACATCTGCTTCCCGACACTTAGCTGGCGATTCTGGGAAACGCATCCTTTTTCAGTCAGTGGATACGTTTCAGGTTGTTTTCCGGATCATTCCCATCGTTCCAATTCTAGTTCCGGTTCAAATGCCAGTCCCCGGCTCGATGATACCAAAGCGAAGGATGCTTCTGCAATGATTACGGCATCTACAGCGGTAGACAGCGAGACTACTCCAGTCCGCACGACATTCTTCGCTCGCACGCGGGGCGGAATTACTAAAATGTTACAAGAGAGAGCCGCTCGTTCAGAAGGTCAACAGATTCGAATGCTGGTTCTAATCGACGGTCCTTACAATCACTCAGGATATATTCATTCACAATTTTCACAGTGCAGCAGTATACTCTGCATCGTCGGCGGAGTCGGCATTACAGCTATACTACCTTTCCTGAAAGAGTGTGGAGACAAAGACACAGAGCTGTTTTGGTCCAGTAGGAAATCTGGACTCGTCGATGATTTGACACCAACACTGGAGTCCCTTTCTCCAGATATTAAGGTGAAAACATTGGTCGGCGAGCGCTTCGACCTGGATATGATTATTCAGCAGAGCTTGGTCCGTCACGAAGCCAGTGGCAAGGGACCTATGGCAGTCTTAGTTTCCGGCCCACCAGGCTTAGCCGACGATGTTCGCTACAAACTCATCAAGGCTGCGCGAACTTCGAAGAAAAGTCAGCCATTCATTTTGATCGACGAAGCCTTTTCTTGGTGATTCAATGTAAAAGGGGTTCAAATATCAAGTTGATTAACACAAATAATCTCTGTACATATCAACAATCTCCACGCATCTTCTGCCGCTATGAATCGCCTCATTCTTTCCCTTAACACTTCAACCTGTTCTTCTGTGTATCCAAACTTCTTCGCAGCTTTGCGATACTCTGAATTCTCATCAGCCAGCATATTCAGCATGGACCCCGCATAGGCCTGTCTCTCCTCTAGCGTGATATTCGACATGACGCTCGCCGATGCCGTTATCTGATCTCTGCAAAATCCCGCCTCTAGTGCCTTTGTGATCAAACGACGACCCATTTGCGTCTCAAGACCACGCATGCGGTAAATACGTTCTTGGATCTCATCCGTCTCGGGGCACGGCGGCCATACGACTTGTGATTGCGTGTCGCCATCACGACATGCTACGATGCCACCATTTGGTTTAGCCAGGATTTTCATCTGTTGCAGGACAGGGGCAGAGTCTGGTATACAGATGAGCGTCGTGTGTTCATGGACGATGTCGAAATTGCCGATTTCATCCGCGGTCAGGAAGGACTCTGGGCGGAGAATGTCGCCGACGCGGAAATCTAGGTTGGTGTTGGGAGCATTCTTTTCAATGTTTGCATTGTTATGCTCTATGATGGTGCCGCTTTGGTCAAGACCGATGATCTTGGCTTGTGGGAAGCGGCGGGCTAGATCGAACGTTATGCTTCCTGGGCCACATCCGACATCGAGGAGGGAGAAAGTTGGCGGGAGGGATTGTAATGTTGGAAGAAGATATCCTAGGCAAGTTGAGACGTTGCGCAGTTCGAAATTCTTTATGGTAGTGTCGTTGTATGCGATGTGGAACTTTGCGGAGCTGGAGTCTGTGCTCATTGCTACGGAATGATTGGACTGCTCTATCCGGATCTGCTTAGCTCGAAGTTCGAAGCAAACTGTTGCACCTCAGAAACTCCTGGATGCGGATACTAAACTAATGAGTGCAGTGTGAAGCAATCTGTTCAAAAAGCGAAAGAGATGTTTGCATGACATGACGTGTGCGTTGTATCCTCCTTCCTAGAGTTGATATCGTTTAGTCCAAAAAGTCGCCATGCAAAGGAAGGTGACACAGTTGAGGCAATCTCCATTTCTTGGCGGTCTCCCCAAGCGATGTGGCTTGCAGAGCAAGTTTGAGGCAGTTGAAGTACGATCCTTAGCGTCTTGGCCCACATGCGGTACTTCAAAGTCCAAATCGAAGTAATTCATCGGGGATACGTGACAAGTCAGAGACAGACTACTTTCTTCCAGAAAGTGATCTTGCATATTATTGGTGCCAGAACGGCTCCTAGATGCACACGGCCCGGAATTCCGACATGGACTCGTAGCAAACGTTCACTGGCCTCGCACTTGGTCTATTGTTTCCGATTCATTCTTCTGAAATATCTTGTAGTGGAGCAAGATCGTTTGTAGATGGTAGTTACCAGCGGTTTGCAAGTGTTGCAAAAGCTCTCCGTTGTTGTCAATCATAGGCCGCAACTCTCATATCATGAGAATCACGCAGGAAGGCGCCCTCGAACCGGGTACGAAAGATCAGGTCTCGCCTCTGAATTTGGGCATATCGGAACGTCGAGACGCCACTGAGGCAGAAATACGCGACCTCCCACATATCGTCGACAGTGTACCATTTGTAGCCTGGGCGGCTGCCCTGATAGGAGCTGCAGAACGCTTCGGATACTACTCGACGGTCATCACTTGGCGTAAGTACATATCTGGGTCAATCATCTCGCAGAGTCTATATTTATGCTAAGACAATGTCCCGCAACAGAAAATTACATGCAGCATCCCCGAGGCAATCCCAGTGTGCCTGGCGCACTTGGACTTGGACAGTCGACCTCGTCGATGATCTCAAATGTCTTTTTTGTCTTCCAATTCTTGACTCCCTTGATGTTTGGCATAATATCTGACACCTGGCTGGGGCGTTACAAAACACTTTTATTAGGCCTATGGTAAGCGATACTGCTAATCGACGTCTATGAGCTTCGTTGCTAACCAAGTGGGTGAGATACAGCCTCTCATTATGCGGCAACCTGGTCATGTGCACTACATCAATACCCGTAGCTCTTGAAAACGGGGCTGGCCTACCAGGTTTGATTTGCGCAATGTTCTTGATTGCATTTGGCGTCGGGGCTACGAAGGCCACAATATCCCCTTTGATAGGTATTATAGCACTTTTATAGCCCTCGATATTTTAAGAGCCAGTTAACTAGAAGGCAGGCGATCAATTGCCACAGGGCCAACCTCAAGTCGTGCGCCGAAAAGACGGTAAACTTGCAATCATAGACAGCTCGCGGACCTTGCAATTCCTGTTCAACGGTTTCTACTGGTAAGTTGACATAGCCGCGCAAGGAAAATGATTACGCCGAATATGCTAAGGTCTGGAGAGGTTCACAAATATGGCCTCTTTGTCTTCCATTCCCGCAACGTTTCTGGAGCGACATGTTGGGTTTTGGATGTCATATGTCGTTGCGACAACATCGCTGTTCATCGCGGTCACAATGCTAGTTCTATTTAGTTCTAAGTTGGGTGAGACACACACACCCCCACCCCCCCTTAGCTGGACGGGACTCAGCCCTGATACTGATTGCTACTCAGTCAAAGTAACGCCGGGCAAAAACTGTCTCCCTCAAGCAATTCGTGTCCTAGTCGCAGCAGCACGCAGTGGGTTCAGGTTGGATCACGCAAAACCAAACTATCAACAAGAATCTCGCAGTGTGATTGTCACATGGAATGACAGCTTTGTTGATGAATTGAAGATCGGCTTGCACGCGTGCCGTGTGATGTACGTTTTTGAATTTTTCATTCAAGTACGAATCGCGTCATGGAATTGACTAACGTCATCTCGCATAGATTCTCGTTTGTGTTCTTTTACCTCGCCATTACCCAAATGCATAACAATCTCATCTCCCAGGCTGGGCAGATGGACTTGGCTGGGGTACCAAACGACATGATCCAAGCAATGTCTGGAGTTGCTTGCGTCGTCTTTGGCCCGATCATTCAAACTCTCTACAACTGTCTTGCCAGAAATCGCATCGCATTCGGCCCCATAAAACGCATTACAGTGGCTTACTTAGTTTGTGGGGGCGCCATGGCATATGCGTCAGGACTTCAGAAGCTGATCTACAGTACTGGTCCATGCTACGACGCACCTCTGGCTTGCGCGGCCTCCAATAATGGCCGTATACCCAATAACATCAATGTATGGATTCAGTTACCAATCTATGTAGCGTTGGCAATCGCTGAGATTCTTGGCCTGGTGACTGCAAGTCAATATTCATACAGTCATGCGCCAAAGGATATGAGAAGCGTAGTGCAAGCTATGGTCCAGCTCAGTGCATGTGTTGGTTCAGTTATAGGCATTGTTATTAGTCCAGCAGCACGCGATCCCTGGTTGGTCATAGTCTATGCATCCATCGCTGGAGTTCTAGGAGTATGTTCAACGTTTTTTTGGCTTTCATTCCGTGACCATGACACGGATAACGGAGCTTAAACTATTTTACGTAGATAATACTATATATACTCGATCAATGCGGGTACCCATTCTTAAAACCTCCTCTACAAGACGAATCGATTCACATTTTTATCTAAGTTCACTATCTATGTATCAAAGACACATAAATACTAACAAGTATTTATTAGACTTGAAATTCTTAGATAGAAGTAAATGGAATTCCAGAGCTAAAACTCTACGGAACTCCTTTTCCAAGATTAGGGTTAGAGAAATTAACTAGAACTTTCTCCTTACTTATACTGCATAAAATACCCTTTCTTGACCCAGAAACGAAACATACTACGAAACATCTCCGCAGTGAACGGGAAACAAACTATGTCGACAGCATCTGCCAATGCCTCCTCGGTATTGTCGGTTCGATAAATCGGCGTTTTTCGGCTCGTCTCAAAACGAGCGAGTTCTCCTAGAACCGGCTCGCGGAGGAGAGGCATCAGGACTAACAAAGGACTGTCATTGAGATTCTCGTCTTCGCTTACGGCTTTCAACCATTCCTGTTATACAACCAGTTCGACAGGGTAACCAGCGTCGTGAAGGAGCTTCCCAGTTCTCTCCAAACTGAATGATTGCTTCGGATCCGGTGAGAGGATACTATAGAATTGTTCAACGTTCGAAGTTGAACGTGAAATGTGGTAGATAGCTGCGCATGCATGGTCGACGGTGACATAATCCCATCGCAAGTCTTTAACTAGTGGAAAGAGCCCCAGCTTTGCACTGCCTATCGCAACCCGTGCAAAGAAATCGTTGGGATTGCCAACACCTCGCTCGCTATCGCAAATTACGGTTCCCAAGCGGTATATCGAGATAAGGAAGCCACGATCACGGGCACGGCGCATCAAACTCTCAGCCACCCACTAGCTCTGAGGATAGTCGGTGCCGTGTAATGAGATTGAATACGTGGCTCTAACGCCTCGTCTTCTAGTAGCGATTTTGTCCCGTTTACAAGACCGGTTGCTCCCCAAGCATCAATCGTTGATGCATAATGGATACATGGTTTTGGGCAGGCCAATGCTGGAAAAATCCAACACCATTTTGGTGCCAAGTACGTTCGCCTCGGAGTACGTTTGGTAAGGCTGGCAAAAGTTGACATGTGCGCCAAAATGGTATATCACGCTAGCGGATCTGGCTAGGCGATCGTATTATTCATCCGCCAGGCCAAAGTGGTGCGTTGCAAGGTCACCATCCACCACACTGATGTGTTCTTCAACCTTGCCGTCCCAAAGGCCATATTTCCTAAACGCTTCCCGCAAACGTGCATTTGCGGAGAGGTCGTTCCTCGACCTGATTAAACATATAATCCGCGACTCAATAGCCACAGTGGAAGAGAGGTGTTTCAGGAAGTATGACCCAAGGAAGCCCGTTGCACCCGTCAAGAAAATATGCGCCTCCTCAGTCCCAGTAGCCGTCGAAGTAGAACCATCTGAGGGTAGTATGTCACCAGTTACACATGAGTCAGTCTTCAGTCGCTCGATCACCGCAATTTTCTTGGTAGCTTCCCCATCTTTTACGGACTCGATGAACTGAACCGTTTTCCCAAAACGTGAATTATTGTAAAGATTCTGTAGGCTGATAAACTTCCCCAAGGTCTGCCTGATCTTCACAGTCAAATGAGCAATGTGCAGAGATGTGGCGCCTAGGTCAAAGAAGTCGTCATCCTCATGCGCCGCATGTATGCCCAGAACATCTTTCCAGATTTTCTCAAGCATGCTTCTCACATCATGTTGTGTGCCTGCGTTATTCCTAGGTAGCTTCTTGCTAAGTTCGCTTTCGAAAGCGGCGTTATCAATTTTCTCATGGGAGTTAAGTGGGAATTTTTTGAAGATGATAACCTGGCCAGGAAGTATATACGCTGGCAAATATTTCGAACCGTTTTCTTGTAGATCCGTGGTTTTGTTTATGTCATCCTCCTGTGATAAAAAGCAGGCCACAAGTAGCGGCGCGGACTTGGTATCTGGAGCTTTGAATTGGAGAACACAAACAGCCTGGACCATCTGGCTCTATATAAATGTTGACTCGATCTCGCTGGGCTCTGCCCTATAGTTGTTGTGCTTGATCTGCCGGTCATTCTTGGCCAGCATAGTAGAGAACTCCTGGCGCTTCTTTCCTGAAATAACTCAACTCTCCTTTTTTGAACAATGGAAGCCGATTTTCTTCGGAGGCAGGGATAGTAGCACTATTCAGAAATCTTCTTTGTTTTTCTTCAGTTCCATTCAGATACCTAATGGAGAGCCCTGTACCACTAATGTAGATGTCTCCGAGCTCCTCCTCTGTTGTAACTTTCCGACCATCTTTGTCCAGCAGTATTACTTGCATGTCTCTGACGGATTTCCCGATTGCAACTTGTGTCACTTCTGCTTCTTGATGATCTACCAGAGGAAGCGTCACAACTGTCGTCGCCTCCGTCGGACCATATGCATTCCATACCTGCTGAGGAGGATTGTTTCTGAGAACGTTTCTAATCGCAGCCAAATTTAGCGCAGAACCTGCTACGAACAGTAGCCTCAATCTAGAGAAAGCCTGAGGATGGTGAAATGCAATTAGATGGAAATGACTGGTAGATAAACATGCAACTGTAGCACCCTTCTGGGAAAGGAAATCCCGTAACTAGAAGCCGTCAACTGTTACTACTTGTTAATCAAGCTATTACTAAAAGCTATTATACTATTATCTAGCAATATTTATCTATTACGCTCTAGATTACGTAAGCTACTACTAATAAGATTCTTCTAGAACCTAAGATAACTAATATATATAGCAGTAGAATTTAGCTCTCGTCTTTTAGGAATATTTTTATTAAATAAAATTTTAGAATTTATTTAAACTAGTTACTAGATATAGTTAATAAATATACTAGTTTAGCTAATATAACGCTATTCGCTCTAATAAAATATTTAACGTGTTTTACCACTGAGCGGGCTACCCCACCAAGTGGGCCACCTCTCCACACTATTACACCTTTATAATTAAATTACGCAACACTATAATAATTAAAAGTATTAAGTAGAACGAGATATTATTCTTTAGACGCGTCGCTATCCTCTATATCCTCTAATTCTACTTAATAAGTGTAAGAGTTATATCTAATTTAGCTATAACG